GGCATTCCGGAAGGCGTGTTTATTGAAACCGTGGCGGTATTCGCTCTCCCAGCTAACACAGACGTGATCGTATTACTGCTAACCGTATGCCCACTCGCCATTGTGGTTATTACCGACGATGTACCAGCAAAGTGATTCATAGGTACTCTCGAAACAGCGTTCACAGTGTGCGGATGCGGCTGGTAACCATCCAGGGACGATTGTCTAGTGGCCTGCCTCTTCGTTATTTGAGGCGTCATGCCGTCTGAGCCGGAGGTGGATGTTTGCGACGACGTCGTACTAGAAGGAACTACATTTGAACTCGTTGTAGCAGAGCAAGGCGTTTCGGCGCGTTGCTCTGGCGCAACACTGCTCACTGAAGACTGTGAGGGTTGCTGAGCCTGAGGCGTTAGAGGTTGAGATGGCACCTGACCAGACGTAGAATGCGAATGAGGTGTTGGCGGTTGCGAGTAACTATGCGGCGTCGACGGTTGCGACGAGATGAGACTTTGAGGGGTCGCTGGCTGAGATATTCCAGGCGTCGACGAAGCTGGGGTGTCCGAATTCGCTGGACTGTTCGTGCCGATTGGAGATCCGTGACTGGTACTCACGGTGCCCCCTTGGATCGGCCTCGAGTCAGTCTGCTGTTGATTGTTCTGATATTGCTCCCCAAACGTGGACGACGTGACAGGATCATCGCGTTGATCTGAATGCATCAGGTACTGACGTTGCATCTGCTGTTTGTATTGATCCTGCACGTAGGATTGGGTATCGGCACTCGTAACGCAACCCTGGCAAGGACTACTCTCTGAATCTGTCCCTCCGCTACTCGAAGTGGGTGTCATGCTACTGTGCACGACAACGGGCGAGGTCGCGTGGTTTTTCACAGAGTTGAACGTCGATGTGCTCGTGGGGCTGGCGCCGGAGGAAGGCTTTGGTTGTGGAAGATAAGTGTTATTAGGCAAATGCGATCCGTGGTTCGTTTGCGGAGGTTTCGAGTTATTCACGATTCCCACTTGAGAACTACTGACACCGGTTTGCCTCGATATCGTGCTGTTCAACAAAGCTGTCTGCTGTGCAAGGTAGCCACTGGGATCCTCCAAGAACGATGGACCACTGCTATTCACAGTTGAACCTATTTGATTATTGTTCTGTTGATTCTTTTCGTTGAACTCGTCGATAGGACTGGAAGCCGATTGATCGAGGCTGTTATTCCTAACGTCTGTCACGCTGTGCTGACGCTGCTTCTTCACCATTATCTTGCTCGACTTGGCCTTCTTGCGCGCCACTTCGTCGGTCCAGGTAGACGCTTGTGGAATGTGATGATGCAGAGGTGGAACACGATCGAAGGAGTTGCAAGTGATGTTCTGGACCGTGACGAGGGAAGGCTGATGAGAAACCGAGGCTGACCGATTCTGTTGCCAAGGCGGTGTTCTCGAGTTGAAATGCACATTACCGGGCTGCCCGTTTGGTCCCATTCCAGGCTGCGCTTCAACAGCATGATTGGTATTCGGGCTCCTTCCCGCTACATTAGATAAAGCGTATTGTTGCTGATGTTTAACATCTACAACAGTTCCCTTCGAAGTATCGAAATTCCTCACAGGATACTGAACCTGGTTCTGAGTATACATTCGTTGCATGTTTTCGTGCGAATTATTCGACAGGTTTCCATTTTGTACGACATGGTGCCGTTGTACCGCGTGATTGTGCAACAGCAGCTGTTGCTGCTGTTGCTGCTGCTGCTGCTGCTGTTGCTGCTGCTGCTGCTGTTGTTGCTGCATTTGCTTCGCAGTTATATCTTCATCCGTCACGGAAGGTGCACGGTTATGTCTATTCTGCATATCAGCAGCGTTCATCACAGGGGCTTGTTGCTGCATCACGTCCAACGAATGATGATTCAACTGTTGATTCGGATACTGGGGTTGCACGCACACTTGAGGTACTTGTTGCTGATGCTGATGCTGCTGTTGTTGCTGCAACTGTTGTATCTGCATCTGAAAATGATCAGCCGGTTGAGTCTGCATCACGTGCTGACTGACTTGATGCTGTTGGGTCTGTTGCTGCAGCTGATGTTGATGAATTTGGTGCAACTGCGGATGAAGCGTAGACTGAGCGGTGACTTGCGAGGCTTGCATGTGATGCACGTAATTCTCCGACGAATGCTGAGGATTGTAATTGCCCACTTGTTGCTCAACCTCTTGGGTCAAGTGTTGCTGCTGTTGTTGCTGCTGCTGCATCTTATGCTTCTGCATTTGCTGCATGTGCAACTGCTGTTGCTGCTGCTGCTGCTGCTGGTTCAAATGTTCCTGTTGCTGCATCACGTGCAACGGTTGCTGATTCAACTGATTCAGATAATGCGAAGCTTGTTGCTGCGGTAATTGATTAACGATCGTATTTTGATGCTGTTGCTGTTCATGCTGCTGTAAAATTTGCATGTGTTGCATCTGCTGATGATGAGGTAGCAACTGTTGCGTTTGTTGCTGTTGCTGTTGCTGCTGTTGCTGTTGAGATATATGCTGTTGCATAAGCTGTTGTTGCTGCTGTTGCTGTTGTTGTTGTAATATGAGCTGTTGATGCTGCTGCTGCAGCAGCTGTTGTTGCTGCTGAGTCATGTTGTTAAAATTAGCGCCTTGCTGATTCATGATCAGCGAATTTCCCATTAGCATCCCCGACATATTATGCTGACCTAACCTTTGCTGAGGATTTCTCGTTGCACAGCCGTTTATATCTTGAGTTTGCGAAGGCGAATTTAGTGTCTGATGACAGATCTGCTGATTAGTTTGTTGAACTTGCAAATTTGGAATCGCAATTGGCCACACCTAAAATTCAACAAACAAAACGCTCCAGTTAATATTGTACTTGAGATTGCTACAAAATAACGCGACCCGATTATTTATTATTTTATATTTATAAAACAATTATTAACAGCGAAATGACGCGTTTTCGGATCAGAGAAAGGTGAAACTCGAATTACCTGCGATCCATTTGGCACTGGCGATCCTTGCACTCCAGATGCCGCGACAATAGCCCTTTCGCGTTGTGCCATAAGTTGCGAGACCGAGACTCCGGAGAAAATGTTTCCTATGCCTCCAATTTTCCTCTTCTTCTTCTTGTTCAGACCATCTGCAAAAGAAAATGAAACGCACACTTACAGAACCGTTCGATCGACCTTGTATCGTTGAATGCTCAACGACGTGGAAAATTATACTAATTCTTAGTGGAACTCTGAGGCGCGTTCACCCTTCAAGGTCTTGAAAAATTAAAATATCACTCATTTCCCTAATTCTAATTTTAACCCTCCACTTATTATTCAACCGCTACTTCAGGCTTCTTAATGAACAAGTGTTCCATTTGAAGTCCCACCGCAAGGTTAAATCCTATTTAGCGTAACAATTCCAAGATTCCTATCCGTTTTACTCCCTTCCCGTCTTCCCGGCCACATTTTACTTGTAAACGAATCGCTGTCCTTTTTCGCAATTTTTCCCAGACACGAGTCTCGAAGATAAACCCTCCTAAACATTTCTCAGTGGATTCTCTCGAAACCTATTAAGTATCACCTGAACGTTCTTTCAAAATTATTAATTCATATTTTAGCGTATTTTTACGTAATAATAATTGATATCTTTTATTATATTAAATTACGATTTTTGCAGTACGCACGATTCTCATTTGCGATTATACTATCAAATTTCCATGTTTACGAAAATATTAAAAATTCGGCAGATTACGCGCAAAATATGCAGAAAATATTAAAAAATACGAGAATCGGGGAAAATCATTTAAAAACGGTATTATGAACAAAAATTAAAAAATAGAAAGAAAAAGGAAGTAAAATAAAATTTAACAGAAATAATGCACAAAATATGAAATAATAATAAATAATAAAAGAAATAACTGTTTCGTATTTTGAATGCAAGAAGAACTATGCGAGCCTCGGAATCGATGGCGGACAAGCTGCCATAACAAGCGTTCACACTAGGAAATTACCTTGATTTACGAGGATAACAGAGAGCAGAATGGCAAAGGGTGGCAAAGGGGATGGTTTTCAATGGCGGTCTTTTATCCGTAAGCCTACAGCGGATAATTATTCTCCACGGCTTCAATGGGGGAAGATAATTCGGGAGCGGGAGAAGGAGGGCGAAGAGAGCGAGGAGAAGGTTGGGCGAAAGAGGCAGAGGGTGGATGTAATAATGAATCCACCTAGGAGAGTAAGGCCAAGTTGTGTGCAACGACGGTAGTTTAACCCGATTTCCAAGGGGGTGAAGATTTGCGTAAAATCTTCGAAGCATTCTGCGGCTTTCGGAGGGGGTCGGTTCGCGTGAACGCGTAAAATCCCTCTGCCCAGTTGCAGCCGAAAAATCTGCAGCCAATGGCTCATGGCTGTAAGCGTTGCCGCCATTAAAGCCGGCGAAGCAGGGACGACGATTACATAGCCTGCATCGGAGAGCAGATTTAATCTCTGGAAATACGACCTCCGAGCTAAAATAAAAGACCGAGCCGAAATAAAACTATCCAACTGCGAAAATAAGGAATCATTCTGCTAATATCTCTCGCAACACACAACATTATCCGTAATATTATCCGAATTGCTAACCAAAGATTGTTCCCATGGCTGCCGAGCAACCCCGTACAGACAGAGATCGAAGTAGCAGGCCGGACGGCAGCGGATCTCGATAGAGGGACCAAGCGATCCCGAAGCGAGCCAACGACCATAATTATAACGATCTTCCGGTGGAGGAAGTCCCACAAGGGCAGAACTGGTCGGCCAGGGCTGAAGCTTATGACGGGATTCGAAGGCACTCGAATCACTGATACCCAATTGAACCTCGGCCAAGGACTACTTGCCCCGGTTCGCTCATGAGGATCCCAGCGTGGATCGGACGTAACGACGTGGCCGAGCCGTTGATGCGGACTAAACGGAAGCAGGGTAAAATGCGCTTGCGCGACCACAACAGGACGTCGGTCGAGGACGAGCCGGAGGTGGTTTGAAACGGTGTCGGCGGGGGTGAACATCACTCGGGGCAGGCGCAAGAATCACAACCGGACACAGACGTTGGACCGCAGTTCCTCTTCTCTCTTCGCCCATTCGGGGCTAGGGGCCGTGGCGCCGCTGCCTCTTCGTACGAAATTAACCCTTATCAACTCTCTGTCTGTCGCTACCACCACCACCACCACCGCCGCCACCACCATCGGCTACCACCCGCCCTGTCCTCGTTCTCCTTCCTGCCTACAGAGACCCCCACCAGCAGCCTCATCCAAACTAACATCGTCGCGTTGACGTCGCTGGCAGCGAATGGTGAGCGGATTCTTTCCTCCTCCCGGGACTTATTGATCGCCCCGGACGATAAGAAGACACGAGCAGGCCGATTGGTTCCTCTTCCGGCCGCGAGCCGGCCTCTGCAACCCTAACACCGATGGAGAGGCCTTCTGTCCCGTCACGGGATTGTAGCAACGGAGACAGACGAATGCAAATTTGTGCATCGTCTGAGGGTTTGCCTGAGTAGGCTTTAAACTCTGTCTGCGACTCGCGCGTCGCACACGCTTTCGGCTATCTTCCCACTGCTTCGATCAAATTATGTTCAGCAACCTGGTTTGCTTGCTTTGGTTCTTTATGAATTTTCTGGTTTCTGGTGACGAATTTTTGTCAATTTCGGTTCTTTTCCATTTTCTTTTTTTCCTTTTTGCTTGTAATTAGTGGATGAATATTTTATTTTTTGAGATTTAAATTGGCAAAGGAGTCGAAATTAATTGTTATAGTAGTTAATTATGATTTACTCGTTTTAATTACTGAAGAATTTTCTTTGTTCTAGTGACTGGAATTCTTGTCAATTCCATTCGGTTTCCATTTTCTTTTTCTTTCTTTTTGTGCGTGTATTATTGGCAGAGGAATATTTTATTTTTTGAAATTTAAATTGGTGAATTAATCGAAATTAATTGTTATCGTAGCTAACTATAGTTTACTCGTTTCAATTATTGGTAAATTTTCTTTGTTCTAGTGACTGGAATTTTTGTCAATTCCATTCGGTTTCCATTTTCTTTGGCTTTCTTTCTGTTTGTGTATTATTGGCAGAGGAATATTTTATTTGTTGAGATTTAAATTGGGGAAGGAGTCGAAATTAATTGTTATAGTAGTTAATTATGATTTACTCGTTTTAATTATTGAGGAATTTTCCTTCTTTCTAGTGATTGGAATTTTTATCAATTCCATTCGGTTTCCTGTTTCTTTTTCTTTTTTTCTATGATTGTTGGAAGAGGAATATTTTATTTTTTGAGATTTAAATTGGTGAAGGAATCCAAATTAATTGTCATCGTTTACTCCTTTTAATTATGGATAAATTTTCTTTTTTTCCAGCGATTGGAATTTTTGTCAATTCCATCTTTTCCTTCTCCTTTGTGTGTATTATTGAAAGAGGAATATTTTATTTTTTGAAATTTAAATTCGGAAAGTAGTTGAAAATTAATTGTTATCGTAGTTAACTATAGTTTATTCGTTTTAATTATTGATGAATTTTCTTTTTTTCTGGTAACGAATTTTTGCCAATTTCATTTGTTTTCCATTTTCTTTTTTTCCTTTTTGCTTGTATTAGTGGATGAATATTTTTGAGATTTAAATTGGTGAACTAGTTGAAAATTAATTGTTATAGTTTACTTGTTTCAATTACTGATGAATTTTCTTTGTTCTAGTAACTGGAATTTTTGTCAATTCCATTCGCTTTCCATCTTTCTCTTCTTCTTCTTTGTATATATTAGTGGAAGAGAAATACTTTAATTTTCCAAATTGAAATTGATAAATTAATCGAAATTATCGAATTTAAAATTTTTGTTCTCATAATTCAGACAGGTATGAAATTAAGGATAGATAAATATTTTGAAACGTGTGGAAAAAGGCGTACTATCTTTTACAAATTGTATTTCACCTGCTTCAAAATAGATAAAAATTAAAAATAAATTTTCATATTAGAGTAAGTAGTAGATCAAACAATAATTAATTTGTTAAGTATTAATCCACAATTTATTTTCTGCTAATACTTCAGACTTAAAATATTTTATTCTCAAAATTCCCAAAGATATATAACTATTTTTGTCAAAATTAATATTAACGCTTATTAAGACAGGGCTGTAATAAACATACTTATTTACTTCCATCGTATCACTTTAACTATGATCTATTTATACCATATTTACAGGTCACTAGTTCTAGTGCTAAAGACGATGGCTGAACACTTCGTCACAACAATTTTCATAATAACAACAATCCAGACTGCATCTACACAATTTCTATCATTGACTGAAAAATTCAATTATATTGACATTTTCGACTAATATCGTGGTGAGCTAAATTTTTTACATAAATAAAAGAAGAAAATCCTATTGAATTGTTATAGCCATTACAATTCAATAGAATTTGACTGAAAAATTCAATTATATTGACATTTTCGACTAATATCGTGGTGAGCTAATTTTTTTACAGAAATAAATTTACATAAATAACTTATTCCTTCATCCTCCAATCTCCCCAGCAAAATGCCAATCAATTTAAAACCCACTGAGAAACTCGAAAAATAATAATTTTCCAACCATATCACCCCATCACCATCCAGCCCAAAAGTAACAAAAGAACCTGCTTATATTAAAAGAAAAGTGAAAATTGCTCCACCAAAAATTGCAAATTTAAATCTACCCAAAAAGATAATTGCTATAATCATATTGCGATATGAAAATGCACCCAAATCACGTTAGTTTCGAAGCAACCATAATCCCAAGGATATAATCCTCTTTCACCAACCCCGTTTGCCCGAATCACAGTGAAAGAAGACACACGCAGTCGGAATCAGCCTGTACACCGATTTCCTGAAGATGGGACGCAGATTTATCGCAAGACCGTGAAGATGTAGCAGGTGGCCTATTCCCAGGGCAAGACGGTGAACGAAAAGTTGCAGGTAGTTAGGAGCTCGCTCCCTGTGAAATCGCTTCCTTCGGGACATCAAACGGCGCAAAGCGTATCGCGCCGTCGTAACGCGGCCGTGATCGATCGAGTAACAGGGTGGGCCTGTTTATCGCGGAAAATTGTTCAGCGGGACAAGGAAAACGCGAAGTCGAGAGCGATCGACCTCGTTAACGTG